TACACATTCGTCTACGATCAGGTATTGTGAGTTTCAAATGCTTTGATAACTTTTCAATCGGTTGCTCTAAATAAGACTTTGCAACACTTTTTGCAAAATCTTTACTAGACATTCTCTTTTTGTTCACCATATTGTACAAAATCAAAGCATTTGTCAGTGAAGACTCGATCAATCTACATAAAATAAGCCATGTCCATTTCTTTGAACCAATATTCGTTTTTAGATCACTGCAGTATTGATCATGAAGATCAACTCCTCCCATAAATTTGTTGTATGTCTTGAATGCTCCAGGAAATTCAATTGGTACTTTACGTTTAGCTGCTTTATCGAATCGTTCCATTGGAATAGTAGGTGTAACGCCAACGGCTGTAGATAATATGGACACTGGTTTCGAGTCCATTACCGTAATGTAATTTATACCACTGGTTTTATCATGACTTACAACATAAGATCCTCTAACAGCTTTCTTTTTATCTAGTTTATGTTTATCTATCAATGTCTTCTGTTCGGGATTTTTGATCAATGTTTTCGAGTTTTTACTTGATTTATCCAACTCTTTTGGAAACATCTCCTTTGTAAAAACACGATCATCTCTAACCGTACCTGTTGCACGCAGGTTTTGTTTTTTCAAGTGTACCAGTAAATCAGGGGATGTGAAAAATCTATCAAAATATAGATGATATTTAGCTACATCATTCTTATCGACCGATGTTAGAAAAACATGAAGCATTTTCATCACTGCCCGAGATCCTAAACTGCATTTAGAGAACTTCGTGTCACTTTGACAATCATTTTTTCCACAATAGATATCTATTTCTAAAACAAATCCATTAGAAGTACAAAGGGCCAATAATTTTATTCCAAAACGTATTGGTTTGTCTTTGATGAATTGTTTTAGAAGCGTGCGACCGAAAAATTTAATCATCATTTCATCTATTGATAAAGAAGAGCAAAAAAATCCAAACTGTTTTACATTTTCTCTGAAAATGTTGAAAATTACACGAACTTCCCAAACTTTGTCATTATCAGTCTTATCCGAATTTTTCGAAGTTTTCAAATTAGACTTAATTTTTTCAAACAAATTTCTATTCATCGTTTCTGAAACAACATCGGAATGCCATATTTCATCAGTCGACCAGTAATAGCTTTTACGAATATTGGAAGTGGAAAAAATGATAATACCTAAAAATTTGTTGAAATGATCTGCATCTAATTCAAAGCCATTTTCAGTTGTCGCTTCAATAATGTAATCTCTCATTCTATCACAAAAAAACATTTCAAATAATTCTCGAGGTTCCTTTCCTAATACATTTTGTTTTATTGCTTCAAAACTATATATTTCTGATTCAAGTTGAACATCGTATGGTCTTTCTTGATCTATCCATTCGTATTTATGTGAGGCTTCTAACTTTTTCTCGTTCGCGGAAAAATTTTGATACACTTCTTCATAAGATAAGGCTACTGCATCAGTGAATCTAGAAGTTCCATCAGCTTCTCCGTCATTATTGAGACCTTCTACGTCACTGTTATCATCATCGGGTACCCACATAACTTCATGATCATTTTCATCTTCATCACTATGATCATTGTTTTCTACAACACTGCTATCAACACTGGCATTCCTCATCGACTTACGTTTCGGCATGATTTTGCCAGTTTTATGAAACTTCTTTTTGAGTCCGAATCTAATAAATAATTATCTTGAAAAAATACTCGGTGAATAGTAAAGCTCGCCAATTATCCTGAAAAGGACTATTGAAGAGACAGCCGAAGAAAAGAGTGAATATGCTCCAACTATCTTGAAAAAGACCGTTAGAGAAATACGTACTTTTCAATCCTCCACAAGATGGAAAATCTCGCCAATTATCCTGAAAAGGACTATTGGAGAGACAGCCGAAGAAAAAGAGTGAATATGCTCCAACTATCTTGAAAAAGACCGTTAGAGAAATACGCACTTTTCAATCCTCCACAAGATGGGAAAGTTCGCCAATTATCCTGAAAAGGACTATTGGAGAGGCAGCCGAAGAAAAAGAGTGAATATGCTCCAACTATCTTGAAAAAGACCGTTAGAGAAATACACACTTTACAATACTCGAGAAGACAAAGGATTTATCCAACTGTAGGGACAAAGAATCCAGAAAAAAATATAGTAATTAGATTCGCAATTTTATCAACATTACCTGATTTTGGTACTACCGACGCCATATTAGATCCGCTATTTTGTAAAATTGAAAACGGACATTAGCATTGTATTCAGCGATATCGAAAACATAGGAATTGAGTACCCACTCACTGGTGCTCATCATTTTGGTATTAACGACGCCATATTGGATCCGCCATTTTGTAAAATTGAAATTGACACTAGCATTGTATTCAGCGACATCGAAAGTATAGGTAGTATATATTCATTCTCTAAATCGGCTTTTATTTAGAAAATTTTAGATTTCCCCGCTTCTCAACATGTTGCTGGCCGCCATCTTGGAAAAATGTTCCAGGAAAATTCGTAATGCCTAGGTTTATCAAAGAACTAACATTTTCAATGTAAATCTACATTTTCATCCAGATTCTATAAATTTCAGCAACTAATTTCTGAAAGAAAAATTCTAATGTAATACTAAATTTTCATCAACATTCAAGACGCCATTTTGTAATTTTCCGTGAAAAATATCCTAATTCTGACTGCAGATTCGTAAAGAGCGGGAAATTTTACAATAGAAAAGTGACTTCTAGTATACATTTTCGATTATTTTGAGGTTTTCCTCGGTCAAAAACAAATCGACTATAAAATGGCGCCTTGGGAAGAAATAGGTTGATGTAGTTTTTTAATTAATTAATATAATTAATCCGGATTTCGGACACAATAGCATTAAAATAGTACGCGAATATTATATTTGGTTGGGGAAATCACATTATCCGACATATAACTTGAGCGCTGTTAAGAATTATGCGTATATGTATTATAACAGACTTTTGCTGTAAAAATAGTGCTCAAATTGTCAAGCGGAGCAATACATAAGCATTGCTCATGCGATTACTTTAACAAAATAAAGAAAAATCCTTGTAGATTAATTGGATGTTACGTTTTGTATCTATGTTATTTTTTAAGGAGATAATTCACGTCTCCGCACGAATAGAAAAGGTTAATGAAATAAAACGGATTATATGCCGAAATAGTGTAGTATCCAATAGCGTGAAAGCAATAAAATTAGCAAACCTACTGTAAATCAAATAAATTATTAACAAAAATGTAATCTCAGTTAATGGGAGATGTCAACTCTCATTAATTCTACTTATCGATGTGTTAGGTACAGTCCGTTAGTTAGATTTATTATTTTTCCTTTTTGTTCATCTGGCTTTGATATTTCCTTTATTAATGGTCGCGCGTCAGCTTCTTTATTTTATTGTTGTAAATTTTATGTGATTCCTTCTATATGCAGCAACGATTGCACGAATGTGCTATTCTAAGACAATCGTATTTAGCAAAAGTTCGCCGAGAGAATATAAATATAAAATAAGAATACGTGGATCTGCCAGTTGCACTTGCGTGATTAGATATTTACTTTTGAAAAATCAGAATGACAAAAAATAGGCTTAGAACTGAACGATTCGACACTTATCGAAAGAAAGTTCTACTACTTGGTCGTGATGCTCGAGCTAGACTGACAATCGTTGATAAAGAATGCATTGCCGAGGCGCTAATTTCCCCACCTTGGCTCATAGCGAGTTCGGAAAATGAGGTATTTGCCGAAGTTAGTGCGCTCCGTTCTTATTGCCATTCGTACAGGTGGATTCATTTTACATCTAGCGCGCGCTTGCGAATCGGTTATAACTTTTGTGGTATTAACTAATTTCGCCCGCCTTTGCCGCTCGACTTCGTGAGAAGACTTTTTTAAGAGCTCTTCCACAGAGTCAGCAACAAAGGCATCCGAATTTACGGTGTCCTTTTGTCGACCTTACCTGTGTAAGTTTTATCGACCTTACCTGTGTAAGTTTTATCGAGACATAACAGGAATAATCAAACACTTACTTAAATATGTAAATATGTACCACAAAATATTTTATGGTTAAAAGAATAATGATTTAGGGAACTCTGTGAATCTGAAGTTCATCCTTACTTCTGTAGTCCGGTTATCTCAATTTCATTTTCCCTTTTAATTAAAAAGAGGCTTCTTGGGACGTTAACAATCAATCTTTCCTTTTCTTAGCTTTGTATTATATTGTCCTTTTTTTCCTTTGGACTATTTGCCGAGTATTCTATTAGTTTATTCACTAATACAACACTTTCGTTCGATAAAAGATTGATTAAAAGAATTAATACACCATTTTAATAATATTATTAATTAAAAAGTCATTTTTTGTTTTAATATTTTAATTTCAACTATACTTTTCGGAATACAAATAACGTTCTTTCTACATAAAATACAATACTAGAAAGATTAATGCTCTCAAAACTAATAAACGACTGGTCTAATTGTGTGTGTGTGTGTATGTGTATGTGTGTGTGTGTATTTCTAATCATCTCTCTTTTTGTTTCAATCCGTCTTTCGTGTTGTCTTTGCATTTACCGTTTGGTCGTCTCCGTTCTTGCTACGTCACTACTGTGTCTGCAATAAATAATGGACTTTGATTAACACGCATGTAAACATATGCGCAACTCAACCTAGCCATTGTAACAGGTTTAATGAGCGAAAAAAACGAAGCATAGCGATACCCACTGTAATGTCTCGTCATAAAGATCACAAAAATAATAAAATAACTAATTTTTTAACTTTCATGGCTAAGTACTAGTGAAAGATTATCAGTTTGTATGCTTTTAATGTCTGTAAGAAATGAATACTGTAGAACAATAAGTTTTAGGCAATGGCTATTTTAATAATTTATTTAGTTTAATTATGATATACCGTAATTTTCAATGTCGTAATGTCTAGAGAAATCGGAATAAACCAATTTATATCAGAAAGTAATGGTACATTAATAATATTTTTGTTTTTGTATTTCAGGAAAAAATAGAGCAGAATCTTGTTGCCAACAGCTATCAGAATTGAACAATTATGTACCTACCAAGTTTTCTTCTGGTCCATTAACAGAAGATTTCATTCTTAAGTTCAAGGTTGTTGTCATAACTGAAGCATCACTGCAAGAACAGCTTCGTCTTGCAGAAATTACTCACAAAAACAATATTGCTCTCATAATTGGTGATACTCGTGGTGTATTTTCACAAGTTTTTTGTGATTTTGGAGACAACTTTTTGATTACAGACGCTAATGGCGAACCACCAGTGACTGCTATGATAGCTAGTATTTCACGAGATAGTCAGGGTATTGTAACTTGTTTAGATGATACTAGACACGGCATGGAAGATGGTGATTATGTTACTTTTTCAGAAGTAGAAGGAATGATAGAGTTAAATGGATGTGATCCTAAAAAAATAAAAGTTCTTGGACCTTACACTTTTAGTATTGGTGATACGTCTACATTTTCAGAATATATTCAAAGCGGTATTGTTACCCAAGTAAAAATGCCGAAAACATTGAAGTTTCTTTCATTAAATGAATCTTTCCGAAAACCAAACATTATTATAAGTGATTTTGCAAAACCAGATACTCCATATCAGGTTCACTTATCATTTATTACGTTACATCAATATGTTCAAAATTTTAAACGTCTACCCGAAGTATGGAATGATGATGATTGTCGAGAATTCTTGAAGCTGGCACAAAATATTAAGAAGAATTATCAGTTCGATATTCATTTGAACGAAGAACTTTTAAGTTTATTTTGTAAAACATCCGCTGGTGAACTTAGTCCAATGAATGCAATTGTTGGTGGCATTATTGCTCAAGAAGTTATGAAAGCTTGCTCTGGAAAATTTCACCCAATTTTTCAATGGTTGTATTTCGATGCCATTGAATGCATACCAAGAAATATTTCTGAATGTAAAGCATATTCAGTTGCAGAAAACAACCGTTACACTCGTTTCATTTCAATATTTGGCAAAGATTTTCACGATAAACTTGCAAATTTACATTACTTCATTGTAGGCGCTGGCGCTATTGGATGTGAGTTATTAAAAAATTTTGCTATGCTTGGGATCGCGACTAAAGATGGTCGTATAACTGTTACTGATATGGATTTTATAGAAAAATCGAACCTTAATCGACAATTCTTATTCCGTCCTTCAGATGTTCAAAAATCAAAATCATCTACTGCTGCTAGAGCTATAAAAAAAATGAATCCGGCTACTAATATAATAGCACATGAAAATCGAGTTGGACCGGAGACTGAGAAAATATACAATGATGAATTTTTCGAAGCTTTGGATGGTGTTGCAAATGCACTTGATAATGTTGATGCTAGAATATATGTTGATCGACGATGTGTTTATTATCGCAAGCCGCTACTTGAATCTGGAACACTTGGCACAAAAGGAAATACTCAGGTGGTGGTACCATTTTTAACAGAGTCTTATAGTTCATCTCAAGATCCTCCGGAGAAGAGCATTCCCATCTGTACTTTAAAGAATTTTCCTAACGCTATTGAACACACACTACAATGGGCGAGAGATAATTTTGAAGGTTTATTTAAACAAAATGCTGAAAATGCTGCGCAATATATAAGTGATCCCCATTTTGTTGAGAGAACATTGAGACTGCCAGGTGTACAGCCATTAGAAGTTTTGGAATCAGTAAAAGCGGCTTTAGTTGATGAAAGGCCGAAAAATTTTGAAGATTGCATTATCTGGGCTCGTTGTCACTGGCAAGATCAATATAATAATCAAATAAGACAATTGTTGTTCAATTTTCCTCCCGAACAAATTACTTCGAGTGGACAACCATTTTGGTCTGGTCCGAAGCGTTGCCCTATTCCTTTAGAATTTAACATTGATGATGAGTTACATCTAGATTACATAGTAGCTGCTGCTAATTTAAAAGCAACTGTTTATGGAATCAATATCAATTTGAATAAAGAACAAATTGCAAAACTTGTATCAACGGTTCCAGTACCCGAATTCACACCTAAATCTGGAGTCAAAATAGCTGAAACTGATTCCCAAGTTCAAGTCTCAAATGGAAATGGAAATATTGATCACGAAAGATTGAGTCAGTTACTTGCTGAACTTCCAAAGATTGAAGAATTAGAAGGTTTGTCCATACTTTATTAGAGGTTGTCATTTAATAATTTAGTACATGGTATATTCAATTTTTTACAATTTTCCAGAGGTATGATATGATACCAAGACCATTTTATTACATGTATGAAAAATTTAATCTAACTGATTTACAATTAGTTCTTAATAGTGATTTATTGATTATAATTGATTAAAAAACGTTACATTTTCGTCTTTCATGATTTTGTATAAAAGATATATTGTACCCGATCACGTTTCGTTGAGCCAATTTGTCTACTTCATCAGAATCAATTTATTAGAACACAAGAAAACATAACTAAAATAAGAAAGAAATTAACAAACAGTACACTGAAAATACACACACAAATGTTTAATTTATATAATTCAACCGTTTTAAAAAAGTCTTGTCATTTAAAAATAAGCTTGTTAAATAGCTAAAATTACATAGTACAATCGGCAGATCTACCCATTGCCTTCCCCACTCAATAATGGAATTAGTCGATTATACATATTAATTAACTCTTAACTTTTAATGTTATCTTTCATGTTAATTCTAGTACTGTGATATTTGATGTTTATCATTTTATAGATCAATCATCGTTCCTAGTGGCAATCGAAATCGATAATTTTTACATTCTTTCAATTAAATTAAAATTCAGCCTTGCGTATGTGTATCGCATAGCCAACTAATTTGCTTTTTTTATGTTCAGAGATCGGATTTTTAGTGCACGTTTTGTTAAACCTATATATACAATATCATAATTCTTGCAGCATATATTAGAGTTTATATCAGAGTTAATTCTGTATATATGCGTCACTTCTTTTCCCAATTTCGCATTGAACATCGATTGACATTGTGTGATATTATCTTATTACTCAATGGGACAGCACGGATGTTGTACTATTTAAGACAGCAATAGCATGATAATACGATCTATATGGTGTATTGACTCCTGACTAGTGTTCAAAATTTTGTCATTGATTTAAATTCTTATTTGGATGTCAGATGCACCCTCTCATTCTTGTAATTGCAATCGTTTTTTCCTGATTAATTACTCTACTTGGTCTCTCAATATATTTCGCCGCCTGTATAATATTTACTCACACTTTTTTGCGCATCGATGATGAGGGTGGCAATCAGTTTCGAGAAGCCACCTTTTCATTGGCTTAATTAATACGTGACGTCAGTAGCTCTCCTAAGTCTAGTTATTCGTATACTTTAGTACAGTTTATCTTAATTTTCAGATTTATATGATCCTTCACTTACTCGTGCATCCTCTGTGTGTGTGTGTGTTTTTTTTTTTTTTTTTTGTAAGAGAGTTGGAGAATGCTTTATGCACGATAGCGACCGTCAGGCTCGTTCTGTGTGGGAGTCTCCTAAGCATGGTATACCTATTAAACTCCCATCTCTCTGTGTCCAGCCTGTATCCCCCGCGGAAACCGCCGCTAGGCATTACTTCGCGGAGGGTGGCTTCTGCTGTGTCAGCTTTGTCTTCATGGTTATTCGTCGTATTTGTCAATTTCTTCTGTCTTCATCGTCTTCGGCTAGAGCAGCCTCGTCATCTTCTTTCGGCGTTTTCCGGTCGTCTTCTTCTATCGGCATTGTTCGGTCATCCTCTGGACAGACTCTACGTCGACACCTACGTTCCTCTGCATCGGGTGAGGGAGTCTGAGCTCGACCCAGTGTCCCTTACTCTCTCGCAAAGGCAGGGGAGCACTTAGGATAGGCTGGCGCCTTGTTATCCTATGGACACCCCAGAGCCTACGTTCCTCTGCATCGGATGGGGTACCTACGCTCTACCAACTACTTTGTGGCAGTTTAGGAGCGCTTTCTAGTCCCATAGTCTGGCACTTCGCTCTATCTATGCATGATAGACCGGTCGCGTCTTCTCTCTTTATCTTTTCTTGTGTCGGTCAGCCGGTTTACCACTGACGTGACGAAGGTCACTACCGTTTCCCATCCTGTTGGCGAGCCAAACAGGCAAGTTCCGAGCCCTTCGGGACTCATTGGGTCATTCCTCTCCGTGTGGAAATGCATCCGCTTTTCAGCGAAGCAGGGACACACAAATAAGACATGTTCTACGTCCTCGTCCATGCCTGGACAGGCTGGGCATTCGACACTCGTATAGACACTGATGCGGTGGAGATAACTGCGGAAGCAGCCATGACCGGTGAGCACCTGTGTCAGTTGGTAAGTGTGGTGTCCGTGGCTCCTGCCTGTCCACTTGTCAATGTCCGGGATAATGCGATGAGTCCAGCGACCTTTTACTGCATTGTCCCATCTTCTCTGCCATTCTCGCATTAGATTTTGCGTCCATCTTTTGCTTTGGACATATCTATCAGCATGATTCTTCTCGGTACGCCCTCCTTCACGGTATTTTTCTGCTCTGTCGCATGCTAATAGGTCGATAGGCGCTATCCCGGTGATTACCGAGACTGCTATGTCCAATACCGTTCAGTATGTACGGGCAACTCGTAGCGCTGCTGTTCTGCAGGCTCTTCGACACGGCCCTCCGTAGAGGATTACCGAGCTTACCACCGACGACAGGAGGGTTCTGCGCGGTTGCTTTGGCCCCCCGACGTTTGGTATAATATCTGCCAACGCTTGCTAGGGCGTTTGCGGCTTTGACACCTATTTTTGATAGGTGGTCGTTGAAGGATAGTCGCGCGCGCGTGTGTGTGTGTGTGTCTAATTTCACTCATTTTTATTCGTTGCTACTTAATTATTTATGTATATTTTACAATGATTCGTTGGTGAATTTTTTTAGCGCCTTCCTATTTCGCTTTATTTCAAATTTAATTCTATTTGACGCATACTTCTTCATGTCGGTCTAATGTGAGAGTCAGTTATGTAATTTAGTGAATATTCTATTATGCACGATTAATTCTCAGCGCCAATTTCAATTTCTTCTCGAATTCGTAATTCCGTCGTATCTTATTATAATCGGTCTTGTTCTCTCTCATACGGTCTGTCTCGCTCGCTCTTGTTTAGTCTTTCTGTGTGATTTCTCACTTTACCCTAAGGAAAGATTGGTGTTGATTATAAATACCTATTTTTCTTGAATCTAAAATCCAGTATTCAAGAGCCAATCTTTTCAGAAGAGTCAGTGAACACTTGATAAAATATTCCACTCAGACTTATAAAGATCCAAATGATCTAAGTTCTAAGCGTTAAACTAATGTATCAAGTCTATTCAGCTCGTTTTTCAATGAGAGGACCGAGCGATAAGGAATTGGGAAAAATGAATTGTGAAAGGTGAAGAAATGTGATAAATAAATACTTGAAATAAAACTTACTTTTTATTTTAAGTGCAGTCCTTTAAAAAGATAATTGTAAAACTTGATAACTAATTGTAAAACTTGAGCCTTGCACGCTCGCAAAAATTGAAACTAAAACTGACTTTCCAAAAAAAGAATCCTTGGGCTTCTTGAGAGAGAGAGTGAATCCTTCGAGCGTAGCACTTCTTGCTGCGGGTAGCGTAGCAGTGGCAAACTGTTCGCGCCTTACTTAGCACATTCCCTCGGGATGTGCTCTCTTTCAAAATAAAGCCGCAAGGGGCTCTGAAGGATTTGGGCATGAAAGCTTCAAAACTGATTGGTGAAAATTTTTCCGCAATAGGGAAGCGTACAGTTTCCTTAAGATAGATGGAATTACTCATGCCAAATCACGTATAAAAGTACTATTATTTAAAATTTTACCGTGCAAAGACTTAACATACTTTTATTACTTAATTATTATCTATTATAAGTCATTAATATATATATACATAACAATCTGAGAGTTATATTTAATTCTCAAATGTTATTTATTTACATCTTTAAATATCTAAAATAAAATGGAACTTAAATGAAACGTAGCTTACATTGTAAATCGTACGACTTAATTTTATCTAACTGCACAAACTACTCAATGGAATAAAATAATTTTCTAACTTTATTATGACTAAACTAAACAGAAAAATGAAAACTCCGTGGGAAACGCATAAGAGGAGTTTTTTCTTTTTTTTTCTGCGTTCTGTATAGGGTTTGGGCGTCGGCAGCCATGCTGTTAGTACAAGGACATCCGAAGCATATGAACGCACATAACAAAGTCGTAAAATTTTTTATACCTATTTTCTAATCGTAGACTATTTGGTCAGCTTGTCTTCTCTTGTAATTTGAAGAAACCTTGAGAAGAAAAACATTCCAAGGTATTTTCGTTTCTCGAAATTGTACAGTTTGATGCATTGAAGTCGTAATACAAAAAAAAATTAAAAAAATAACAATAAAATTAATTATTTGGTATTATTAATTATTCGACGTTACAGTGTCATCGCCGAAGCTCTTTTTTAAATATTTTTAGTATTTTCAGATTTAATAATGCTATAGTGCTAAAATTATCAGTTTAATCGAAGAAGTTATGAGTTCGTTAGACATCCATTGAGGAAATTATGGGGTGAATGGATTAACGGTAGGGGTATAACAACTAATGATTTCAAACAATTTGTTGTAGGAACGATTCACTGATACGTACATCAATTGATGATTTATAATCAAGAAGTTACAGGAATCTATGAAAAGCAGTGATGAATTAATGGAATTATAATAAGCTTTGAGGAAGTTGAAGGATTCTTGTGGCCTATTAATGGTAGATGAGTAAGTTGAGGTAATAGAATACGGGATATTGATAAGAAAAGGTTCATGATATCTGTCAGAAATAGTCAAGGGATCAATCGAATTACTTATCTTTATATCGTTATTGCAGAAAGCAAGGTTCAGTATGTTTCCTGTAATATAAACGGAAGATACGAATTAAGAAATTGCAAGAAATTCATGCAATATTCATATGGTTGCAGAACTAATATCAGCAATAGAATGTGTTACAGAGGCTACAATTAATCTATATACGCTCATCCAGGAATAGTTGGGCAAATTAGAATCACAGATGAAAAGTAGAAGATTAGATGGGTATCGTTGTGAAAGATCATCAAGTGTTGAACAGGAGTGCATGGGTGATGAAAATACAGACGAAGATAATAACCCAATAACCTAAT